CAGATTGTTGGGAAGATGAAATTATGCTGCTATTATTTAGAATATTCTATAGAATATTATGTCAAACTTTTCCATATCTCATTTTATTGAATTCTTTTCTAACTAGAAGGGTAGGAGTTTCCTTTTTGGCATATTTACATACATTGGTGTTAAAATCAAGCAGCTTTCTGGTCCAAGGCGGGGTATGAGAGGTATAAATAAAAGTCATCTTTGAGAAATCTATATTAGTAACGTGTAATTTACGTCCAATTGGGCATACCAACCTAGGTTTTTCTATGGGCACTAATTCTGGCCACAAGATTGACAGCTGGATTTGAGGGGTTGGCATAGACCTTCGCAAACTAATTTAAAAGGAGTCTTGGTCCCCTAATGTTCAGGAGAGGTTCGCAGGCTTCAATATGAAGGCTTTCAGATGGGCTAGTTTAAAAGGCACTAAGTCAAATTCAAATAGATGTGTTTTGTAAGAGAATTTAATAGAGGCGGACATATAAAGTATGCTTCCTTAATCGAGTTTGGACCTGATTGGAGCTCGGTAAGTTCTGAGTAATAGGAGAGGATGGGGAGGGCTTAGACAGTTTTTGCTTAATATTTTTTTTCAGATGAAAAAGGTAAATAATTTATTTTCTTAATTGAATATGTTATATGACATCTCATTTAACTATGAAGGAAAATATAAAAAGATAAGCTCAATAATCGTGATATTGCGGGAATAAATATGCCACGATATAATTTGTCCAGATCCATCCCATAAATGGGGAGGGTTTGGACACAGATAAATTAAATTAAAAAAGCAATAGTACATCTTATTTAATACGGGAAAATAAAAATTTACGATTAATGACCTCGCTTAAATAAAAAATGATACATTGATATGGGTTCAGGCATATCTGCAACATAGCATGACAAAAATCATGTATCTGTCTCTGTAAATATAGTTCTATCAAATGGCCATATGCCTATACGTTTAAAATCAGATTTAATGTTGGATGTTGTTTGATGGTGATGAGAATAGCACGGGGAAAACAAGCCACGAAAGCACTCCATGAAGTGATATATGGAAGAACACTCTGACCAAAGAAAACAAAAAAAGATCTTTTAGAGCATAGTGATGAATATTACCCTAAGTGGAGTGGAAATGTGTGGCCAATGACAACATTAATACGAAATAAAATAAAAACAGTTGAACTGGACTTAACTTAGAGGAAATATGAAACAGAATGTAAGTAGAACGCTCAATTACAAAATAGTTGGAAAACAGAGTACTGCAGTGGTACGAATATGTGCAAAGAATGTCAAAGCACAGGTGGCTGAAAAGAATATTGGACTGGAACCCGCCGGAAAGAAGACGGAGAGGAAGACCTGCTTCAAGATGGAAAACATACATAGGTAGATAGAGACTCAGAGAAGATAACTGGAAAAATAGAGTGCTGTCAAGGACACCAACAACAAACTTATAATAGGAAAAGATAAAGAAGAAGAAGGATAACTAATGATTTAGGTGGTGAAAATTTGAATTCTACACTTGCTGACCAATTATTGATACTCTTTAGTGTGTTTTGGAGTAAGACACATGTGCTAGTTGTGTGCTCCTACCTTGACAAAATAGTGAGAGATCATCAGCATAAATAGCATGCTGGACTGGTGATTTTATCATGGAATATATGTCATTAATATGTATCAAGAATAGTGTGGTGCTAAGAACAGAATCTTGTGGTAGCCCATTCTCTACAGCTTGTGGTGCAGACATTTTGCCATTTATGGACACTTGAAACGTTCTATCCGTTAAAAAGTTATTAATTAATGTCTATATGTTACCTTCTAATTTGAAGTCATCAAGTTTTGCAAGAATGACTGATTTTGAAGTACTTATTATGAAAAGAACTTTTTATGTCTAAAGCAACGGCTATTACCTCATTCTTGTTTTCCATAGCGTACGCAATTTTAGACTTTAGTGTAACCAGGTTGTCCATAGTAGGTACATCTATTTTGTCTGACTGAAATGTAGTTAATAAATTTGTGGCATTCTAAGTACCAGTTAAGGCGATTATTTATCATTTTTTAAGGCTTTACGTAATGAACAAGCTAAAAAAATAGGTCGAAGTGAACTCGGTAATGCTAAGGGGAAGATAATTGTTTTTAATTGGGATCATAATAGATTTCCTGCATAGCCTGGGAAACTGTTGATCTGTTCATAATGTATTGTACAGATCTAATAATTTTCTTAATGCGTCTGAGTGCAGTTTTTAAATAAAATTTGGGGGAATTTCATCTGGTCCGGCAGCAGAATTTTTAGAAAGTAAACAACATCGTAGAGTTCGTCAAGAGTAAAAGGTAGATTAAGTGGATCGGTGTTAGCTGAGAAGGACTGGGGAGGTTGCTGTTCTTCTCGTGTCTTTACATCACTAATTTTGTTTCTGGATTTGTCCAAAAGATATTATGCAAAAGTATCAGAAATTTTCTGGTAGTCTGTGATAACATTATTTTCGTTGATAAGAGCGGGAATAATATATGTTGTGTTGCTTCCATTAATTTGTTTTATTTTGTTCTATACTTGAGTTAGAGGTGTGTCAGTGGTTGTATTACTGGAGAATTTAATCCGAGAATCCGGTTTTCGTTCTTTAAATACTCACTTTGATGTGACCTTTAGTTTCTTGAAATGAATGAAATACTCCACTGATCGTGTTCTGCGAAATTTGTTTAAAGCCTTCTTACTAGCTTTTACTGCTAGATTAAAGCATACATTCCACCGTGGTACGAATTTTTTGAAAGGATATATGGTGTACTTTGTAATGTATTCTTCTGCTGCTTGTATTATACATCTATTAAATTGTTCAACATCTGTATCAGCATTGTTTTAAAAAACAATTTCGTTAACACGATCCTTAATAGCAGTGCCGAATTGTTCCCAATTAGATTTTGAGATACTCCATTTGCTCTTAGTAAAAGGTGGTTTAACTTCATTATTGGTAATGAAGATAGAAAAGTGATTACTGTCATAAAGACTACCAGAGCTCGTACAAGGTAAGAAGAGGAGCTGTTTTAGGATCACTAATGTTCAGGTCAATTGAAGAGAAGAAACCACACTGGATATGAAAATACGTATTACTTTCTGTATTTAAAATTAATGATAAGATCTTCAATAATTTTACCCCTGCCAAAAATATATTAAGACCTCCATATAATATTATGGTAGTTAAAATCTCCAAAAAGTATGAAAAGAGTTGGGAGTTTTAAAACCTCAGCTCTGGCGTGATTATAGTTAGAAGGAATATAAATATAGCATATAACAATTTTGTTGGGATACCATGCAGTTACAGCTACAGCTTCTAGAGTTGTGTTAAATGAAAATTTTTGGTGAAAAACGTCATTTGAAATAAAAATAGAGGATCCGCAGCTTGCTTTTAAATGTATTGTCCTAATAAAATGAGAGCTAGTTAATTTCTGGTACTTGGTCGTAAGATCTTTGTGTCATACCTTTCCATTAAACTCTCCTGATATATCACAACCTTGCAATGGCATAGGGTGTGTATGGCAGTCTCTTCTTTTATTTGGAATTTTTTGCACAATCGTTCATTCAACTTACCTAGTTTGTACAGATGTTTTCTTAAACGATAATGTCCAGTTATCCACTTCGGTGACCGTTTTAATCTCTTGTTTATTGAGGTTCATCAAATTGACAGAGTTTTTTTATCAAAATTCTCGATTATTTTTTTAGTTTAGATTTGCCCTTGAGTTTCTCTCCATTTCTTTTGATGATTCCAGCCACTGCTAAATCTCGTTTTTTGCAATATTTTTAGTGATCCTAGCAGATAGTTATGGGCCTACAAAGAGCCTTGTTTTGTCAACAAATCTGCTCGTTCATTCTCGTACACCCCTTCTTGACCAGATACAGTATTATCTTTTGCCAGGTTGATGAGGAGATCTTTGCAGTTCCTTACCAGTTTTTATGTGGTGAGTGGGTTCTTTACTGCATTTATACAAATAGCTTGAATATATGTATAAATGTTGATTCTCTGTTTTTTGGGGTCTCATCATCCATGATTTCATCGATGCAGCCTATCAAAGCAAACACACTGCGTGGAACGCATTTGTATATTGATTTAAGCTGTAAGATTTATTATAATTAGGTACATGTCCGCCCAAAGACTTCTGATGTAGTACACCATATTGTTCCCATTAATATTTGGGACTTTTTGCTCTCCAGATGGTATAATTGTGTAAATCTTCTCAGTGAATATTAGTTCTGGTGTCAATACATCTGAGTTCATCGTTACAATGGATTCCTTAAGTACAGGTCCAGTAGTATTGGCTGTTCAATATATAATTCGGCCCCCAAGTATTGTTTGCTGTAAATCGCAGGATGGTCATAAAGGCTACTGCCTAAATATACAATTTGAGCGAAGGGGACTCTTGGTAGCCCCTAAAAATCCCGTTCCTGCACTGTTACGACTCTTATTATATTGCACAAGATTGCAAAGCCGCCCTTTTCCACCAAAGTACTGAACCATATGTAACTGTCGGTCGCATGACTGATATGAATAGCCAACAAATCACATTTAATTTCAACCCCCAGGTTTTAGCTACAATTCATCTGCAGTTCCAGAAGGAGCGTGATGTCCTGTTAATTATATTGTTAATATGATTAATCCAATTGAATTTGAAATGCAGGGTTACCCCTAGATACTTGAGCTTATTGGTTTTTTCTACTTCCTTCTTAAATAATTTCAGCTCATTCAGTCAAGTAAGCTTTCTCTTATTAGTGGAAATTAGTTTTGGAGGGGTTCACAGAAAGGTTCATTTTGAGACACCAATTCTCTATGTAATGAAGGGCATATCGGATCTGATCCTCAAAAGTACTGAGAAATTTTCCTCTAGTCACTATTAAATTGTCGTCAGAGAAATCCTGGATCCAGATTTTTTGGCGACTAAGCCCACGAATCAGGTCATCAACGACTATAGTACAAAGGTATAGACGAGGATTAAATAAACTTAAAACTTTATCTTAGTAAATATTTAATCTATCACTTTACACTTTTAATACATACAATAAAACAGTCACTGTAGTCTGAGCTAATTTGATAAAGAATATTGTTCATGCAAGTGCACAAAAAACAATATTTTTATATAGTTGGTTTAAAATATACAGCGGTTAATAAAACGGACTTCTCAGATGTGTAATTTATTATTTATCTAGTTCCTGTTCTCTAGACTAGCATTATTAGAACCATTTATGATTATTATTGCTTAAAATTAGTAAAAACTATGTATGTATTTTAAATACCTATGTGACATGGTAAAAGTAACATTTGCTTATTTTAAAGCTAAAAATAGGTTTATATCACGCCATAATTAGATACTAAATAATTAGATTTAGAAAATAAAACAAATCTGATATGCACCAAAAGATATGTAAGAAAATACTCAGTCGGTAGTAGTTTTAACATTTCCCCTATCTGTCAAATTTATACAAATTGTTATGACATTGAATTCATTGTGTAGTTGTAAAAAGGTTGCTAACATTCCATTGCATTAGACTACATTATTTCTAATAAGGCCTTCTAAAAACTCCACTAAAAAGAACAGCTCTTTCCATCTTTTCATAAATAACATAAATAAATGGATGGTTGCAAATAAATTGTGCCGGTTCCGCTGGTCTGCTCGATCTAAAACTGAAGAATGTAGTTGCAGCTGCTACTTTAGTTCCGTCTTCATTAACTTCAATTTTGGCTTTGTGCAACGATCCTCCGAGAGTCACTTTCTTGTCAGATAGAACTGATAGGTCTGAGGTGGGTTCAAAGAGATCTCCTACTCCCATATACTGAAGAATCTAGAAGGAAATGAGTGATTAATACTAAGGCAAATCTTATGAAAACATCTTTTTTAAAATAACAATGATACATAATAATTTTATAACAGCTACATATACAGGTAAAAATGAGTTTGAGGTGAAATTAGGAATGATTTTTATATGGCATTTAATAAGATTGTTAAACTTGACATTATGTAAAAATGTTTTACTAAGATTACAGTAACAAATTTTTATACTAACCTGTAATATTGCTATACATTACTCTAATAAAGAAAATTTATATACCTATATCTATACACATATATATACAAGGTAATATCTATATATAAACTAACTTCGCAATCGGGGAAAGATCCATCAACCTATTCAAAGCATTTAATAAAATAAGATTTTAAAGTATTCCGAAAAATAAAAAGACTTATTGGAAGAATCTAATTTTAATGGCACAAACAAAATAAGGACAAAACTTGAGTTATTTTAACGTTGTCACAAACGAAATGATCTTAAATATTTTAAATAAGAATCTCAGGTACGTCGTCTGGTGAAAAAGATGAGTATTAACTGACTAGTAAAATGTGGAAACGGATAGAAAAAAAAAGAATAATACAAATAAAAAGAATTGAAAACGCTAGTATTTATTATCAGTTGTCACAAAATAGAATATGTTCATCTTCTTTTTATACAGACATGACTCTGTCTGGTTTTTAATGTGCCTCCAATAAGTTGTTCCATAGTTTTCATGGTCTTCCTGCTGATTCTTTTCCTTGGGGGAACCGTTCTTGCGCCTTTACTACTCTATTTTTTATCATTCGGCTTATATAATCGTTCCATTCTACTCTTCTATTTCTTACTCAGTTCTTGATGTTCTTCATCTTGCATCTACGTCGTATATCTGTACTTCTAGCTCTGTCCCATAGTGTTTTACCATCAATTTTTTAGTGGGAAGTGTTTGGATCTCTGTTGTTTCTAACATCCTTTTTCTCCTCACTGTATCAGGTCGTGTTTCTGCCGCATACGTCATTATTGGTGTGATGTTTGTTTTGTAAATTCTGCCTTTCATTTCTTTCTCGATATATTTATTTCTTCATATTGTTATATTCAACCTGCAGCTCTGGTTACTCTATTCACTTGGTCTTCTACTTCTGTTATTCCGTAGCTAGACAATGTGATGACTAGATATTTAAACTACATCACTTGTTCTATTATCTTACCTTCCAGGCCCAATTTACATCTTTGTAAATTTGCTGCCATTGCCATGAATTTTGTCTTTTTTGGAGAAAGTAACATGTTAAATTTTCTGGCAGTTATATTAAATGATGCAGCACACGATGTAAATCATCTTCATATTGAAAAAGTAGTAGTGCGGTGTCTGCATAACAGATTATTTTAAGCTGTTTTTCTCCCATTTGGTATCCTTTTTTAATTTTGACATTTTTTATTATTTTATCCATAATCAATTTGAATAATAGAGGAGTCAGGAAATCTCCCTGTCTTATCCCATTGACAATTTCAATAGGGTCAGTTAGTTCATCTTATACTTTTACTTTTAATGTGTTGTTTTGGTATATATTTTCTCAAGAAAATAGGACGTTATTCACTTACTCTACGCAATATCTCGTTCTTTAATTTGACACATTCAAGAGTTTTTCTAAGGTCCTCGAAACATATATATGCCGGTTTATTCTATTTAAATTACTTCTCTTGCACTTGCCTCATTATAAATATAGCGTCGGTGCATGATCTTCCTGACCTAAAACCTTCTTGTTCTTCTGCTAGTGTTATATTTTCATTAAATTTATTTGTTATTACTTTAGTTGTTATTTTAGTGTTGCGGTTAATAAATTAATTCCTATGTAATTTTCCGTGACCAATTTGTCTCCCTTGTTGAAGAGAGGTATTAGGATGCTTGATCTCCATTCTTGAGGAATTCTGTTTTATTCTATTATTTTTTAACTAGTTTTAACAGTTGTTTGGTGTAACCTGGTGCTTTGTATTTATAGAAGTTCATTCGGTATTCTGTCCTCTCCTGGTGATTTTCTGTTTATTAAATTACCTTCATTAATCTCTTATCTTTGTTCTCTTATCATTCTCCATATTTCCTTTTGTGTTCCGTAGAAGTCGTGTTGCATCTGTTTTGAGAAGCTCTGCCAGTGTTTTTTACTTGTACCTAAAGTATTCGTTTCATTTCTGATTCGTTTATAGTGGTTTAATGCCTGTTGTGTTCTGTATTGTAAAAAGGCTTATTCTTTTTGTCTTTAAATTTTGTCTTCACTTTTTCTCTAAACCATGGGATTTTCTTTTTTGATATGTTATCTTTGCGTTTCTCACTCCAAGTGATTCTGTTGCTGCAATAATTATGTTGTTTTTGAGCTTTTCCAGCTTTCCTTGTTACCGTTTTCTAATATCTCATTCCACATTTCCTCATTAAAATACAGTTGGCCGAGATACTTACCAAAACCCTTATTTTTGTGGTAATTTATAAATGTTATATAAATATAACATTATGGCAGTTAATAAGTTATTAAATTGTGCTAAACAGATCGATCAAATAGTTTATAAGTTAATCGATTTGTTTATCCCGGAGAGCGAATATTTAAACAGCTCTACTTACAAAATAGTCACTCTAGAGATATTCTGTAAATCGCAATCGATTCTTTAAGGCTTAATTTTTAAGGATATTAAAAAAATCTTTAACATTTTATTAAATTTGTTGCTAAAAAGGGCTGACTTTTTAGCATATAAACATTTACAATAACTTTGATATTTTTTATGTCACACTTTTATAAGTAGACTCAATAGCTGTTGAAAAACACACTTAAAAAAAAACAGAACCTTCTATGACCAAGATTAATTAAAATTTTTTTCTTAAAATCATATTTTTATTGTTTATTAACATTAAGTATTTCTGAACGGATTCTAAATGAAGATCTAAATTTTATGATCCAACTTATTTTTGGCATATACAGTGAAGTAGTAAAATGTTATAACCCGTTAAAATGATGGTACCCGTAAAATACCGCCATAAATATTTAAATTATATTAATTAGTGTATATTATTTGTATAAATAAATATATAATAATAATTATAAATTAATACAATACATTTAATTCCTCTATTTCATTTTATTGTTTTTTTTTCAACAAAATAATTAATTTTATTATAACTGCATTTAATAAATTATTAAATGCATAATATTTTTGTAGTTAACTATTCCACTTTTCTTTGGCGATATTTTACGAGTACCATCACTTTAACGGGTTATAACTATTTACTCCCTTACTACATATGCTACTTATAGGTTGGATAATAACATTTAGATCTTTATTTAGAATACGTTTAATTTTCAGCTCTTAATGTTAATAAACAATGGAAATATAATTTTAAGAAAAATTTTTTATCTTATTTCCTATTGCTCATAGAAGATTATATTTTTTTAGAAAGTGTGTTTTTCATCGGATTTTCATCGAGCCTACTTACAAATGTATGATATAAAAAATGTTAAAATTACTATACATGCTTATAAGCTAAAAGTACTTTTTAGCAACAAATTTAATTTAATATTAAAGTTTTTTAATATACTTTAAAAATGAAGCCTTTAAGAATGAATTGAGATTTACAGAATACCTCTAGAGTTACTGTTAGTGCAAGTATAGGTGTATAATCGCCATTTGGGATAAAAGTTGAATAATTTATAAACTATTTTGGTCGATCTGTTTGAAATTTAGCATACTTTAAAAACTCATAAATATTAGCATCAGTATTAATAACACTAAATAATAACAAAAATAAAGTTTTTTTTTAAGTTATCTCGGTCAATTTCTTATGTATATTAATTTGGAATTTTGGAATTTGCCAAACAGTAATGAAACAAACGATTATAACAGAGAAATTACAGTTAGAATAGAAAAGGCATTAAATAATATGAAACAAATATTATGTAGAGACCTCAACCTAAATCTTAAACACCAGCACTTAATTGTTATGTATTTTTTTTTTGATAATAAGAATGTCCTGGCTGAGAAACCTCAGAGCATGGTTTGGATGCAGCTCAACTGAACTCTTTCGGGCGGTGGGGTCAAAAGTTAGAATAGCAGTGATGATTGCCAACCTTCGTCAAGTAGATGGCACGTAAAGAAGAAGGGGACAGATAACAAAAAATGTGACAAAAATATTTCTTAAATATTAAATATCTACACTAGAAAATTGGTCTAATGTAAACAGTGAAGTCACTCCATGGTCTCGTATTAAGTGGATTAAAGTTAGCCAAAAAGACCAGTTTTAATTAATTAATAAAATCAGTTTGAAGGAAGGAAAAATATTTATGAAAATTTATTTACGTACCAGACCATAAGAAGATGAAAAATAAAAAACGATATGATATGCTCATATCCAATTTTTGTTTAGGTATAAAAAAATAAAACAAAAATAGGTTCCAAATACGGACCTTTTGAAACTATTTTAGTTAATATTTAACCTTACAATGCATCATGTAGCATATCTGCTACATATAAAACATTGCTGACAAACCAGGAGTTGAAAAAGTTGGTAGAATGTTTTCTTGAAAGTGACGATGATCTGGAAGAATTGGATGAAGATAATTTAAGTGAAAACGTTGATAATTGCTTAGAATGGGCTGCTCAAGTTTCAAGATCCTGTTAATTACGCCAATTTGTTCATTGAAAATACTCCAATTATTTTTGAGCATAAAGTAGATAGTGTAGAACTAACCAATTCGAAAGTTGAAAATAATAATGAGGCAGATCTTGTCGACGAAAGAATACCTGCGAATGAAGACGTGAACGACACAGAAGAAAATATATTTACACTGGACAAAGACGCATTCAAATCTATTTGCTGGAAGTAGGCCTTGTTTAAACAAAATGTTTAGGGTACAACATTTAGAGGTGATGAAAATCTCCCAACAAATATAATGGACTTATCAACACCCTATCAGTTCTGCAGGTAAAACCTAATAAGTAAATTATTCCTTTTGCAGTTTATTATATAATTTGTTAAT